TATTCTTATACATATACTTATTTATGCATGTTCGATCAATTTTGTTGAACTTTGATACTGATTTGTTTTTTCCTTTCTTTCTTTTCGAGATGAATTAATCAATTCAAACCCCACAAAACCGTTAATGATTTGGATGATGCCAAATATCCGTACATTACATTATAAGCAAGTTGCTTTATGATTCAAAGAAATTTGATATAACTCCAAAAATTGATACGCCATGCAAAACTTCAAAATTGAAAACCAAAAGCTTTTAGCTTCTTTTTCTTCTTTTCTTTTCTTCCATTATAAGTTTCTTTCTTGGTATGTAAAACTAAAATATTATCAGTAGCTAAATAATAGTACTATTAATAAATGTTCAAACACTTTTAATATTAATTGTCAATGCTTAAGGAGAAAAATAAATAAAAATTACTTTTCCACGTTACTAGACAAAAAAAAAACTGTTACATGAAAAGACACCCACTTACTGATAATATAAATTAAAAAAAAAATATCAGGCGTTATGATTTCTTCAAATTCAAATGCTCATATATGCATGGATAGTTGTATCATTAAGTTTTTTTTTTCACCCTTCACATTCTCACTAAATATGCTTATATATATGGTTAACGTAAGCTCACACTTGATTTTTTTTATTAATTTAATTATTTTATTTTATTTTTTATAAAGTAAATTAAATCTGTAAAATTTTAAATGATTTTGATATTAATTAATACTTTGTCATTTTACTCTATTTTAATAAATATTGATAATGCCATTTACTAAATTTAATATGTTTTTGTATTTTTTTAGTTTTCTAATTAAAAAAATTATCAATTTAACTATTATTGTTTTATGCTTTTCAGTTAGTGACACACATTTTGAACTTTTTAGTTTCAGTTGTGTTCATCAACAACTTTTGCTATTAGTTATAAGACATATGTATTATTTTTAAAATTTAAATATTACCAACTTTTGAATATTAAAAAAATTAAAATAATACTAACTATAAGCCAACAAGTTAAAATTATAATAGTAAAAAATATTCAATTAATAATACAAGTTAAAATATATAAATAAATACAACAAAATAATTAATAATTAATGTTTTATAAGTAATAATTATTAATTTATTTATATAAAATCTATTATTTATATTAAATAAACCCTAAACATCAATATGTTATAATTTAACTTATTATTAACAAATTTTTTATTTTTATCATTGTTTTTATATAAAAAAAAGTCTTAAGTTACAAACCCAATAAACAATAACAACAAACTAAACGTTTCCCAAAACAAAATAAACTATCAAACTATTAAAAATATTACTAACCTAAATGTAATTAGTACTATTTATGCTGATTATATATATTTGTTGTGAAGAAAATTGAATTCGTGATTGTGGTTTGTATAAAATTTTGTGGCAGATAAAAAGATAAGACTACTCGCATTTATTTACTAGATAAAAGTAGAAAGTTATCACTTGTCACCATGAAATCAAGTCTCATCCCTGTAGTGAGCAAAACTATGTGGATGAAATTTGTTCTTTGCAGTAAGCGATACACATTGCATGCATAGTACTGTCACGTACTTGTTGATGTAACAAAAATTACTCCAAACATGTAAATAATTTTGTTTTTATAAACAATGCCCAAACAAGAGAAGAGAAAGAAATAACAAGAGGAAGAAAAAGGAAAATCAAGAGGAACGAGCCATGAAAGAATATGCACTTCACAAGACCTGTAAAACACATAAAAAAAATCTAAAAAGTAAAAAGTTATTGAATCTATATGACATATCCATTTCTTGCCTGGTGACGCTCGTGTGTTTTGAGAAGTCAATTATGTTCCACTCACTAATCCTATCACTGAAAAATAACTACATTGCTCACAATATATTATACAACAGTATGATCATGCATTACGCAAAATAAAACATGAAACATACCACGGTCATATTGGTTCAAAGAATTTTATAATGCACAAACAAAACAAATCATGTTTAACCATGGTGGAGAACATTGGCATGGTTCGAGCTCAAAAATGTGGCAAATAAATCTCCCCTTATTTGATATGATTTTTGAATTTTTTTTTCACTCTAAGAATTTTCCATCCATTCTCTAACTTGTAAGATTTTCAAAATGCTAATTAATTTATTCGGTCAACAATCTATATACATGAAGTTTCCATTTGTGAGGGTTGTGGGGTTTCCTGGCTTCATGGGCAAGCTTAGCCACACAAAAGCTTCAAAACTTAAAAATAAATAAAAGGGGAAAGCTTCTCATGAACAGAATCAACCTTAAGTAACAACACTCAGCATTGGCTGAAATCAAAACATTGAATAGTCATGCAAATTAACTTTTTCAATCATGACTATAAATATCTTATACAAAAAACTACTTTTAAGATCTTATATACCTTTTGTTTTAAAATTCTACTGTCATAAGAAGTCTGATCTTTCACCACTTTGATAACTATTTTTGTCCCTTTTAAAGCCACGGAAGCTCAATATACACCTAAAAGCTATTGTTCTCCTTTTGCAGAGTTGCCAAGGAATTAAAACCTTTTCTCAGGCTTCATCTTTATATTTTAATTGTTTTGAAATGTTTCTGTTTTATGATTACCTTTTTCGTCATCGTGGGGGTACGTAAGTCCATCAGTATATTAAGTTGTGATTATTGCTTTAATTAACTTGAGGATATTTAACATTTTCTTCATAATTTCACTCATTTGAAGGAATTTATTTTATTTTGCATATTTATAGCCATAACAATGAAGTTAGATTTTGGATAAAAGACCTTAACTATAAGCCACAACTCATGTTTGGGGTTGGGTACATAGCAACCCTATGGTGGCTTTAATTTAGAGAGGAGAAGATGTAACATAAATTTTTATAGTAAAAAATTGAGAATACTTTGTACTTTGACGAAAATAGATAAATAAATAAATTGGAGTTGACCAATCAATCTTACTCTCACTAGTTGTTTAACCGTTTTCCCTGTTTATGGTGTAACAAAGTAGCTATACTAAAAGTGGGGTTAAGTAGATGCCTCCTCCTCAAAAATCTCTGTGATGGTAGTGCTTTTGAGACCTCCTCTACTAGTGGTTTCAATTGGATTATATGTAATATTCATGGCAATTGGATGTGTGGTTTCTCTAGCATTTATGATCAAGGCGATGCTTTGCTAGTTGAACTTCATGGCGTTTATCATGGTCTTAATTAATTTGGCATGGAGTAAGGAATTTAGATTTGTCATTAGTGAAAGTGATGTTGGGGAGGTGGTTAGCATCTTGAATGATCACCTCAATCATGAGCTTCATGTATAAGCCTCTATTATTGCTCTCATTCGTCAACTTTTTAAATAGACAATATATGGAGTGTCCATATCATGCATATTAACTAGGAAGCTGACATGGTAGCTAGCAAATTTTATGGTGAAGTTAGGATCTCATGGCAAGAATGCTTGGTCCTCTAGGATTTTCCTCTTCCAGGAATTTATGCTATCCTTCCATCAGATTCAGTAGCTTTCGTTTCTAGCATTTTCTTTGTTCTTCCAAAGCCTAACAGTTATTTTAAATACTTAAATTGTTGAATTCTATTTAATTAACTATCACGAGTATTTATTAAAATCTTAAACGTTACAATTAAAATTCTTGGTATATTTGTTTATATTTTAGGCGATAAATCCAAATGAAAATATAAAATACATAATCATTCTCACTTTAAATGCTTTTTCTGAAAAATAACTCAAGATATTTTTTTCCCCTCAAAGGTATAAGATTAAGGTTCAGTTTGAATAAAAATTTAAAAAAGTTCTTATAAAAAAATTAATATAAAAAATTAAAAAAATTCCAGAAATTATAAATAATTCATCTTTTTAAATTCGAAAAAAGTTAAACAAAAATATAAATTATTTTAAACTTATGAAAATTTAAATTTACCTAAACTAGAATCACTTCTCCCTTCAAACCCTCCTCTACACTCTCAAACTATGAAGTTTTAAAAATTTATTCAAAAAATTAAATGATTTATTTACCTTAGATATAATTTTATAAGTATAACTTTGAAATTCATTCATAAAATAAAAAATATATAAAATTTAATTAAATATATTTAGGACACACTTTGAAATACTAAATGTAAAATACCCGTCTAAACTTGTTACATTTTACTAGCTTAAAACAATGAGCTTTAGTTTCTTAATGCTTAGTTCATGTTCATTTGAGATGCATTTTGAGATAAAATTAATTTTCAAAATTTCTCAAAAAAATTTAAAAAAATAAATTGAACTAGCAATATCATCGTTCATGTCCACAAGGCATGAAAATGGGATGTGATCCTCTGAAGTTAAAAAATGAACTATACCTGTAATACAGTTTGAGTCCAACGACTTCGATTAACAATTCATAGTCATTTATAATTTTTTATAAAACAAACTTCAAATTTTCAGAGTCAAGATTCCATGCACAGTTTGAAAAACAACCAGAGAGAATATTAATCCGCATTATATCATATATGTAGACCTTTCGTAAAGAAGTTAAATATCTTATTTATTTGAAACAAACCCACTTTAGATTTTTATTTATTTATTAACTTTTTAATAGTTACATAAACATCAGACAACACACGTGTACATATAACATAATTAGATTTAAGTGGTGTTGCACGTTTTTATATTAACCTATGTATAATTTAATATTTTATTAATCTCAGTTTATTGATTAAACTTCAATATTTATTATATTTTCATATTTATAATGTAATAAATATTTCCAATACTTAATCGTAATTTGAAAGACTAAATTTAATAATAGTATTTTAAAAATATTTTCCTATATCCATTGTTTTAAATAATATACACGGTTGTTTTGTGGAATAAATATTATTTTCATTTTTCTTTATTCTTGCAATTTTTGTTTACCTATTTAATCATTCTCTTGTCTCTAATTTATTTATAAAAAAAAACACAATAAATTTAATATAAAAATAGTATTTTTTTTTTCCTTTTTATAATCCCTGCGAATCTGAGTTAGTATCTCCAGACCGTAGTCTTGAAATTAGAAATGGACTACACGCTTTACAAGGACGAACGATATGCATTATGCAAAGCTACAATCCAATTGTTTTTCCTTTTAAAAAGGTTCTAAAATTCTTATGCACATGAACGATGAATCTACTTGTTTTATGCTAGGGTCATTTCGGACAATACATTTCTCAAAAGTATATATTGTATTACTCAATAAATTATCTATTTTTGGCTTTATAATTAATCTTCACTGTCCAGATAAACTTGCCTTTTTTTTCGCAAATATTTTTTTTGCGTGACTAAACTTTTAGCTTTGGAGAAGTCTTATGGACTTTTAAATTTAAGCTTGTTTAGGTAGTATTTCTTTCAACATTTATAAACTTTTGAGAAAAAAATGTTATTTGACATTATTAATTTTATGACTTTAACCTTGGTTTAAGTACTTAAAAACAATAAATTTTTATAAAATACGTATTTATTATATTTAAATAAAATATTATTATTAACTACTTAAATGCAATCTTAAAAGTTAACATTTTTCCTAATGGTATTTTCATATTTGATTGATATTTTATAATTTAGAATCGAAGTTGATATTGGTTCGATTGTTAATGGATAAGAAGGATTAATTTAAGAAGAGAAAAAGGAAAAGGAAAAGGAAAAGGTTGACAGGGCATGGAAGTAAATTGGGGGGAAGAGGACAAGCATGGAAAAACGCAGACAAACAATGTTGTTCCAAAAAGAAAGAAAAAGGAGGCCCCTTGAGATGCCATGTAGAGTAGTAATGGTGACAAGGGAGAAAAAAGAGAGTGGGTTGGGAGGAGTAAATTTAGGCATCCACGATAGACGATAGACGATATGGTGTTGTTTCTTTTAAGCGAAGCAATAAAGATAGAGAGAAAAACCATAAAAGCTGTGAAGGGTGTCCCTGTCGAAAGGTGTGGTGGCAGTGGCATGTAAAGCCTCAATCTATCAAAGGGGGCATCTAAACCAAAACGCTCACTTCCTTCCCTACACATATAACCAACGGTTCTAACTTCTAACTAGCAAGTAAAAATATAATAATATATGTCAAAATTGAGAAAAATAAAGTGAGAAGGGAAGAGCCAGTTTTGCTGATTCAATGAGTTTTGGATGGGTTGGTATGTACGTGTAGTAGTAGCAGCAGCAGTAGTGTGTGTAGGTAGTACAAGAACAGCAGTGATGAAACCAAACCTTCTTCATTCTCAGTTCTGACCAAAACACTGCCACCCTCTCCATAGGCCCAGAATGAATTCCCCCTCCTCTTGGCTATAGCCCCTTTTCTTCTTTCATTCATAATTGTACAACTACAACTACTACTAGTTCCACTCTCCATTTTGGCATGGAACTGAATGGCAGTGAACAAGTTTCAAACGGGTGCCACTTGCATAAGCAACAAAGGGAGAGTGGCAAAAACCGACCATCAACCCAATAAGCCAAAACGTTTTGCTCTGTTAAAAGCTGGAAGAGAACAGCGCGAAAAAGGGTCTGAGTCTGGATCCTCAAAGGAATCATCATCATCATCATCGTCAACTCCACCACCACCACCATCATCATCATGTAGAGCAGCAAGAAGAGCAGCAACAAAACGTGCTCCAACAGCAACAGCAACCGTCGTATTTATTAGACCCAGGTCGGTTACAAGCGCCAAAGAAACGGTCTTATTCGGGTTCGGGGGAGCATGTGGGAACGACGTCGTCGAGGCAAGGGGGAATGAGAGGGGGGGTGGGGGAGATAGTGGAAGTTGAAGGGGGTCACATTGTGCGGTCCACGGGGCGGAAGGACCGACACAGCAAGGTTTGCACCGCCAAAGGCCCAAGAGACCGCCGGGTCAGGCTTTCGGCCCACACCGCCATCCAGTTCTACGACGTACAAGACCGTCTGGGCTACGACCGCCCCAGTAAGGCCGTCGACTGGCTCATCAACAAGGCCAAATCCGCCATCGACCAACTCGCCCACCTCCCACCCTGGAAACCTACACTCCCTGTTCCTAATAATCAAAACGACGACGAATCGCACAACCCTAACCCCAACCCCAACCCCGATGAAGCAATTCTCCGCCAGTTAGGGGAAAATGAAAACGACAACGAGAACGGAACTGAGAACGAGAACGAGAGCTTCCGCCACCACGATGGCGGTGGTGGAGGTTCTGCTTTTCTTCCGTTGGACAACGACGCGATTCGGTCTTTCTTCCCCACCACCACATCGTCGTTGATTCAGTTCCAGAGCTACCCGCCGGATTTGCTTTCCAGAACGAGTAGCCAGGATCTCAGGCTCTCGCTTCAGTCGTTGCAGGATCCGATTCTGCTTCACCAGAACCAGAACGAGCACGTGCTTTTTACCGGCACCGGGTTCGATGGCATGGTGGCTTGGAACAATGCTTCTGCTGTTGCTGCTAATGATACTGGTAACGATGGCAGTGGTGGTGGTGGTGGAGGAGGAGGGTTTGTGTTTAACGCTCCTTCAGCTTCGCTGGTGCCGGCGACATCGCCGGCGGTGGTGTTTGGCCAAGGCCAGTATCTTTCTCAGAGGGGACCCCTTCAGTCCAGTAACAACCCTTCAGTTCGTGCTTGGATTGACGCGCCGTCATTCGTCGCCGCCGATCATCATCTTCATCATCATCATCGGCATCATTATCTTTCGCCGGCGGCGTTGGTGTATCAGTCTTCTCCTTCTTCGGCATTTGCTCCCGGTGGCTTCACCGGTTTCCGCGTGCCGGCACGAATTCAGGGTGAGGAGGAACACGACGGCGTTTCCGATAAGCCGTCCTCTGTTTCCTCCGATTCTCGCCGTTGAAACCGCCAATTTCACTCTCCTTTCTGTTCAGGTGCTCGAATTCAAAACCCTCAGTTCTTGAAATCAACCAATTGGGTGTATCATCTGCTTCTGCAGTGTCTCCGAAGAACGAGGATGAGGAGTTGGATTTGGATTTTAGATTTGGAATGGTTCGGTTCAATGGCCTGTGCTTGGGGAATGAAGAAAATCTGGGGTTGGATTTCCAGGTTTTCCAATTCTCCACTTTTTTATGTTATTTTACGTTTGATTAGGAAGAATTTCAAGTTCGAGTGCTATGTTTTTTCTATATTCCGTGTTTGGATTGTTATGTTTGATGTTTGTTACAACTTGTAGTGGCTGTATCGTTTGTACTTGGATATCTAGTTTCTTAGTTTTGGTCTGAAAACATGCACGTAGATATCACAGCTAGTTTGCTCGATTTATCTTGTATTTCCAACTTAGTGCAGAGGCAGATGCAGGGTGAGGCTTTCTCTCCATTGCAAAACAGGGCAAATCCCAAATAAGCCAACATATGAATAATTGGGTAGTGTATGCTAAAGGTTCGAGTTGGATGTTACTGTCTTGTTTCAATAGAGGGAAAGAGACGGGCATTTTCTTCCCGTTTGGAAAATGCCCAATTCTCAAAATACATTGTCAAAGGGATGAAAAGAGGGTTCTCTTTCGTGTGAGAAATGATTGTTTTGTTACTTTTTACTGCTTTCTATTGCGACCGTCCATCCATGTGTAGCTTCCTCATCCTGCTAAAAGAAATTGAAAGATGATTCTACTGTTTTATTACATCAATGATCTATCTTTTTCGTGCTTGAATTTTGGGAGCATTTGGTTGAGAAGTCATTGTCCATGAACAGTAGAAACTGTTTTACAAAAGAAAGGAGTTACGTGAGAGTTGATTCCGAGCCTGTTAAAAGGGCAATTTTCCTAAATTCAGCATGGTTTTCTGCTTTTCCTTTCCCATGTCTTATTTGTAGTTCCTTTAGCCCGTGTAGTATGTCATGATTCGTGATAGTGACCGAAGGTTTGATTGTGTGGTAAAAAGGAAAAGAACCAACACAGTTCATCTTGATGGCTTCCTTTCTTTTGATCTCAGTAAAGGCCAATGGTTTTTCTTGTTCTTTATTTTCATTATCCCCTTGGGAGACAACATATTCAGCTAATGCACTATGTAGCCCAAAGGGAAGCTTCAGCTTCTGGTAGAGTAGTGATTTCTACCATTGGGTTTGGAACTTGATCTACCCTTTTCGAACGAAAATATCTTGTCTTTATTTTTTATCAAGTTCTCAACCTTGCTGCAATAAGATGAGGTTGAGTAGTGGGGGAATCTGTAGGTCACAGTCCATACTCCACAACCAACGAGTTGGATCGATAAATCCTAGTAGGTAGAACAAGTGGGGAAGGTGGAAGATATCTATGGGATGAGCACAACGAAGAAGCTCAATTATGGAAGAATTCACACACATAAGTGCCACCAAGGTGTGGTTCTTGTCCACCTGTTCTTGGTCCCCTACCCCGTGAATCTCAGTGCCTTAAAATAACATTATGTAATGTCCAGCTGGATATGCTGTCTCCCAAGGGGATAATGAAAATAAAGAACAAGAAAAACCATTGGCCTCTATTGAGATCGTAGTAATTGTTTTTTTGGTTGTTGGTGCTGCTAGTCGGTTGATAAATAACATTACTCCAAAAAGTTGAATAGGTCATTATGCAACACACAGCTCTCGGTTGCCATATGTGCAAAATGTGGCAATAATTAATGACGATGTTAAACATAAAGAGCCCGACCATCCTCTGTCATACTCTGTCTATGTGAAACAATACACTAAAAGGAGGACAGTTCATTTAATATTCTTACATCTTTGCAGTTATAATTAAACTATTTAATCACCCATAGTCATATATAAGCATAATTACACGCGGTGAATATTTGAAGGACTGCCCAAGAAAGAAAAGGATAATAATATGACCATTCTCAAATTTCAACCAAAACTAGGGAATTCATACTCGTATACATCATGCAAAGGCAGGTAACCAGTGAAGTCTCCTAATGTAACGTACACGCCAAATGACCAAACCAAATATGAAAAAATCAACCCCAAAAGGAGGAGGAGGAGGAGGAGGAGAAGCCGTAAACCTTCAAATTTATTGAACTATTTGGATACTTCGTTCTTTGTCAGCACTGAAGTGCTGTTTTCCTTTCCTTTCCCATTTTCCGTCCCGTTTGACAGGGCAGGTTTAGCCGAGGCCACTTTGCTTTCATTGTGGTTCATCTTGTCTGATTTAGTTTTTTGGGGCTGAGTATTGAGTTTCTTTGTTTTAGTGGACTGAACTCGAACCCGGACTTCCCAAGGACGAGCTGCAACCCAACGCTCCATCCAGCTCCAACCCCAACTTTCTTTACCAAGGCTATAAGAAGCCTGGCCGAAATACTGGCTACAGTTTGGCCTCCACTGCAATATCACATATCCATAGGTGCTCAAATTTAATTTTTGGTATGGATAAAGCGAGCAAAAGCAGGTTCTGTACCTGATGAGAGAAGGCGTATGCCATGGCTCGCTCTCGTTTAACTGCTGCTGCTTCTCTCTGATGTAACCTTGAAAGTATCTCTTCCATAGTTTCAGAACCACTGCACCACTCCACCTGACATGGGTATACCAAAAGGCATGTTTTGTTAATATTGAAAGGATAGCAAAAAAATAGGCTCCCATTGCATGAACAAGAGAGTAAATGAGGCTATGGAATGATTAAAATCAAGCAATCAAACTACCTCAAGTTCCTGAATCTTAGCCTCAAGTTTTAACTGGTTTTCCAATTTCTTTTGCTTAATCCTGGCTTCTGTTATCATACAGATTCTGCGAGCTCTAATTTGTTCTTGTATTCTGCTCCATGAATGTATATAGCTAAGTGCTGTTGCTGTTTGCTCTCTGGCCAAGTGATCTTGAATTAAAGCTTCAAATTTCACTGCTCCCCTTAGATGGTGCAATGTTCTTCTTGCCTGCATAGGTATAGGGGCAGGCAGGGAGTTCACTCGTCACTCAGTGTGATAAATTGCTTATGATTTGGGTAAAAGCCTCAAATCAATAACTCGGAATAGATTTTTAAACACAAAAATGGCTGCCAATTTGGGTTATCTAAAATTAAGGCCACAGTCAATGGAAGAAATCAATCCTTAAAACAGGATTTGTGGCTAAAGTATAAATAACATAAAGGAGAAAACAAGTCCTTAGAAGATGAAGATGACGAAAATCGTTGATTCACAAAGGTAACTTGTTTTGTAACTTCTGTTAAGAAAAGAGTAAAGCTGCAAAATAACAGATAATATCACTATATCCTTAGGACATAATTCCCCTTCCAGGTTCGGAGCAGGGTTTGAGCTGTAAGTTTATTTTTTGTTCAGCAGTAATAAGAAGAAAATTCAAGAAGACATGATATTCGTTCCAAGGATTTGCAAATCAAGAATTTATACCGTTAGTGAATCAAAGTTATACCCCTCTTCACTTTGGTAAGTTGAGAAAAAGAATAATTAATTATTGATTAGGTACATATCTTTGACTTCAAGGAAATTTGAAGAAGGCTTAGAAGACACCACATGAAGGAAATACATTATTTGATTCGGTGAACCAAAAGAAAATGTGGTAAAATCTCCTAACCTGACAAATTTAACATCATCATCAAGAAGATTAAAAACAAGTCAAATTATCCTATTCCTATTATATTTTCAGTGTTCGTTTAACCAATGAGATATAATAAGTCTCTTCTATAGACAGATCATATCTTACTCTCTAATGTCAAATTTATTTTGCTGCAAAATCTTAATCAGAAATAAACAGAATAGAATAACAAAATATATGTTACCTATGTTATTTTTATCCAATTTTCTAACCTATTCTTTCTCATCCTATCAATGTGTAGACATGTGGATATCATTGAGATAGATCATGAATTTAACTTCTTGCTTCCGGGCACTTGCTTATGTAACAAATTACCAAAATCGCTCTACTTACCCCCTGTTAAATGTAGCGTGAAATACGGATTTAAAGGCATAAATACAATGAAACAGCATATAGATATTGTACCATAAATGAACGAAACGCATTTTGAATCCGAGTAGCTGCAATATCGTCCATCAACCTCGTGGGAACTGTCCGGTCTATCATCAAACCTTCATTGGGAATGCTACTTGACTCTTCATAAGTGATTTGGTTTCCGTTGGAATATGTATTTGAATTTACCTATTCAAAGAGTGTTGAGAGAACAAACAGCAGTAGTGGATTGGATATATCAAATTATCACCGCTGGATTTTTCTGAATTCTAACAATTTGACTTTTTAAAAATAACTCAAATATGTTATTTTATTATGACATTTATTTTTTAGTTTTAATTCTTATATATTTGCAAAATTTTTTAGTCACTATAATTAACATCCTCCACTAAAAAATTAATGCATGTTAATTTTTAGTTGAACTACGTTGGTGAAACAGACTAGAAATAAAAAATAGTGAAAATGTAAGAATCAAGATAAAATAGTATTTAGAGGAATTAAAATAAAAATTTTGTTAAAATGTAAAAATCAGAAATATTTTTAAACCAAGAAAATATTTTATTCAAAAAGCAAATGAAATAGCAAAAGTCAAGAGAAAAAAAAAAGTACATTTCACAATGATTCAAATCCTCCTTTATCAAACTAAACCTAAGAGTATCTAATGAGAGGCAGAGATAAGAAATAACCTTTTCTTGTTTGGATTTATCTTCCTTGGATTTCTTCAGTTTGACTATTATCTTAAACCATTTCTTTGGACCCATTCCTACTATTTCTCAAGCTAAGAACAGGAAACAGCCAATACGAAACCTGCATAACAAGTAATATTCGAACAATTTATGGTAAACCTCAAGCATAAACTGATATGTTATAGTTTATAAAATATGAGGAGAGTGCATGAAAGATCATAGACTTCATTAAATCCTTATCTTTATCATGTAAACAGTATAATGGAAATAGCAGTCAAATTTCCTGTAAGGGCCAAAGCCAACAGGACAATCATATTATTGTAAGATTAGGTGAAAACAAATGCAACTATCATACACAATTTGAAGAATAGTTGCTAAATTGTGCTTCATCACCCATCAAGAATTATCCAAATTTTTTTATGGTTGAAAGAATCGAGGGTATCATCATCTATGCTATATTGCTATTATAGAAAAGGAATTCCCTCACTTGGTATCCACTTTTTATTAAAAATGGAAAACTTGATTTGACTTTGATTTCGAGATTACTTAAATATGTTGCAGATAAGTTAGTTTCACGTAGAATTCAAATGTAAAATAAGAAAAAACTATTATGCCATCACATAATTTCCGAATGGCATGTGCCTCCTCTAACATTTAGTGCATCACACAACCTGATCCATTTATAATTGTCAAACCATGGCATATGGGTTTGATTTCTTTCAATTTCAAAGCCAGAAGTTAATGAAATCAAGCCTAAACTAACATAATGCCATTAACAAACATGACTCCTATACATCCCTTACAATATGATAACATATCTATCTATCTATATATATAGAACCTCTAGCCCAAATTAACTATGCACACAAATCATTATATATTTTGACTGGAAACAAGCGGCATAACAAAATCATGACAATCATAAAATGTGAAGGCAACAAGGCATCGAAATCTAAGGAGCATAAGTTTTCATGAACAAGGCAAGAACCTGAAAGGATGATGGTAAAAGATAGAAATGGTAAGGGGCACATACCAAGGTGAGAGAAGAAAAAGCAAGCACACTAGGAGTTTGCTTGGAGAGGATGAAGAGTGGTGGTGGGTAGTAATGGTAAGAGACGTTGTGCATTGAAAGAATACATAAAAAGAAAGAGAGAGTTGCATAATAGTGTAGTGACAAGCCAACCAAGCTGAAGCAGATGTTTGATCTTTTTGGAAGTTTAGGAGTCTATAGAAAGGTGAGGGAAGGTAATAGTCATGTCCAGCTGTGTTACTGAAAATGAAATACCATAATTAAATCAATGAAACAAAATTGAATGAAACACTACAAATTTAACTTGGGTCAAGAGGAAGCTTGATGCGACCTTCTCTTCACAAGACCAATGCTCTAACCAATTCTCCTACGGAACCTTATTAGCTTTAATGTCACCAATATACTCTTTATAGGCAACTAAAATTGAGTAACTATTCTCTCACATTATATCATAAAGGGATATGAATGTGAAAAAATGTAATAAATGATAGAAAAAATGTATTAAAACAAAGTACATGAAAGTGAGATATATTAAAATAATAAATAAGAAAAGAGTTATTCATTAAAACTTAATTTATATTAACGTGTGTCCTTTCCTCCTACCTATTAAGGAGAAAATAATTTATTAAATGAATACACAAAAATTATTAAGTAATTAGAATTTTATTTTTAAATAAAATGTATTTAGTACCTATTTAAGCAAGTGAACGTGAATATATGTTAGAAAAAACTAATTGTTTCATGGAATTGAGTATAAAACTAAAAGTTGAAATTAGACCGTAAATGTTTAACTATGAAATTAAAAAAAAAAAATTAAAATCACACACTGGGCATTTTGTATCTGTCTTTGCAATAGAGTTTGGCCACCACAATTTTTGTTTTTCCTATCAGTAAACGTGACCTAAAACAGGTTTATACGTATTAGAAAATGTAAAATCTCGGTGTCAACTTATAAACAAACAAGATATCAATTCATAAAATTATAATACAATTAAAACTAATTAAGCATTTCTAATTCCTAACTCCTATTCTCTAAAACATAATTTTTTAACTTTACCCTCGTAATAATTTTTTTATTTTTGTAACTCTTATCACCAATCTCGCAACTATTATTGTTATTGTGACTCAACTATTGTGATTGTGTCATATAAACGCCAGCACCTGCACTTCATACAAGTATATATGGACTTTTTTATTATTATTATTCAAATTCATTCATACTATGATAACTTATAATTAGTCATGTTAAAACAGAATTAAGAAATTATTCAAAATTATAATTATACACTCTAAGATTTTGCAAACTCAGTGGTAGAGAAAATAATGCTAGCAACACACTCTCTACTAACTAATTTCAACTTTGTAAGAATAATAATTTAAATTTTACCTGTACTTAAAAAGTAATTAAAAAATCTCGATAATTACGAAGTAATATGATTCACGAAATGTGCTTCTATTTCCTTACAATTAGATTTGCCTCACATGACTTTAGGACTATCACGTAACTTGGAAAGTCATGATCAATAAATGATTTTTTAAAATTAGTAATGCATGATTTTAGTCTTTAATAATTATGCACATGCAATCAGTGCACCTTTGAATGTTCTCCAAATTATGGGGTAAAAAACATTGGCAGTCAGAAAAATTTTATTTTTACTTTTCAAAATTGTCTCAAGAAAATTACAATTTTTTCCAAGACAAACTATTACAAACATGCACTAATTCCCTATTTTTTAATTATTAAAAGAAAATACTTTCATAATTTTTTAAATCTCCCAACTCTCCTTTTTTACTCAAATAATTAAAGAAGTTAAATTTAATTCATTTTACTTTCCGTCTTGAGGAGAGGTGTTCATGATCATAGGTTAGATTAGGTGGATTTTATTATAAAAAAATAACTAAACTCGATTAAAACTTCATGGATTGGGTTGAGTCAATTTTAATTATTTTTTTTCCCTTCACTCGACTTGAACTGACCTCACTACGAATAGGTTGGATTGTGTTAGGTCATTAAGTTGACAACTATAACATTATATAAAAAAATTAAACTTTTATGTATGATTGATAGTACAATCCCAATCTCTCAAATAATAAATCTATTAAAATTAAATGAAAAAGTATTTACTTTTTTTAAAAAATATAGTACTAATAATTTAATATTCATTTAAAATAAGAAATCAAGTAATACAAATTAAAAAATAAACTTTGACATGTTATAAAGTATAAAGTTTAATATTTATCTCACAACTTAAAGCAATATAAAATATTTGAAAATTAAAAGATTAAATTACTTATCACTCTTTAATTTTCACTTCAAACAAATTAAGAAGAAATCAAAATTATACAAAGTTAATAAGAAAAAACTCAAATACAATAGGTCATTAGATTTATTGGGTTGGGTTAGATTTTAACATTACATATTCATGATCCAACTTATACTTTATTGAATTTCAATATTTTTATCTGTCTATTCAAATTAATCTGGTAATTTTTAATTGAGTTAGGTTAAGTTGATTAATTTTATTAGGTCAACAGAACTCGTAAACACCTTTAATCTTGAGTTTGATTCTAATACAAATATTTAGATTGGTGAAAAGAAAATAATTTTTTTTTCTAAAATTACTTTATAAACCATTAAACCCTGTAAAAAATGAGTTTGATTTTAAATTTAAGATTAAATGTTTACTTCTATATTTAATAAGTTTTTCATGACCCACACAAATATTATTAAACTAAAATAAAATTTTAAAAATATATTATATATGCTCAATTTTAAATTTTATAAATTTTAGAAAGGATAAATGTTTTAATCATATATTTTACTATATAAAAATTTAATTAAAGTGATAGTTTTTTAAATATTTAATATTTAATACGAAAAATTCACTTAATATCTTGAAAAATAAAACCTAATTCCTAAAAAATATCCATGATAATTCTTGAAACATAAATACGTATTTGATATAAAAAATATTTTTTTTATAAAATATCACTTAAAATGATAAAAAAAAAAAGAACTAATCTTTAAATTTAGTTTTTAAAACACTCCTAAAATTATCTTATTTAAAAATTAGTACTTACAAATTATATATAAGAGTTAATAAATTTATAAACTTAGAAGATTAAATATGATAATTATTGATAATAAAAATTTCATTATATTAAATAAAATTAAAGAAAAATTTAAATTTTAAAATTAACAATTTATTAAATTATAAAACATTAAATTAATAAATAAATATATAATGTTAAAAAAAATACTTAAAATGATGAAAGAAGAACTTATGTAAATTTATAACTTATGACATAGGATATGTTTGATAAAATTAATAAACACCTTTTAGATTATATCCTATAAATGAGGACGGTTTAAAGCTTATAACTCATATTTAAATGCTTACATATAGTTGATTGAATTAGAACTGTTATCTACAATTGATAGATTGGTTGAAAGCTTATAACTTATGTCTTTATAAATAGTTGATTAAATTAGAACTCTTGGATAAGCTTATTAAATTATATTTAATGATTAAAAATGACATGTATTATTATATTAATATAATATTAAAATTAGATGAGAAGAGAGATTTAAAATTTTGTACCTTTATGTAATTAGTTTAAAAAAATAAAGATAAAAATTATTGACAATTATAAATTACTAGTGAAACTTTACATTAATAAATTTTTCAAAAGTTAAATTTTCTATTTTATTTTTTTTTGACAACTAGACAATTACTCACTTGTTTAAAAATAAAAAATATATATAATCTTATATTACTAAATACAGCCTTAGTATTCACAAATTATATAGGAAAATTAATTTTATATTTAAGATTAAAATTATTATTCACAATATGATAAATAATTAATGTAAAAAATATTCAAAAAAATTAAAAAAAAATTAAAAAAGTGTTCGTGTTTTAAGAAAGTTTTTAAACACATTCTTGTTTAGAAAGTAGTATCTATAAATTAAATATAAAGATTGCTTATAAAATTTAAAGGAGAAAACATAAAAATTATAAATAATAATAAATGTTATATTAAATATAAATAAAAAATTTCAAATTAATATTAAATTAAAAATAAATGCTTATAATAAAAAAAATATTACTTAAACACTAATGGGTTAGTGTTTCAATCCCTAGGTCTCACTAGTTGTGTTGGCTTAATCCATGATAAAGTTAGAGAATTTATTATTAATTTTTACAACTCTTTGATCTCCTGCCACATAGTTATTGCTGAATTTTGAAGTTTGTATTTGGGTCTCAAGCTAGTCATGGCTAGAAATACTCAACTTATTTATATTAAATATAATTCTAAAAAAGCTATTTTCTTAGTTACTAGTGTTCAGAGTTGTAATTACTTATTTTATTTTATAATAAATAAAATTAGGCTGCTTATTAAAAATATTAAATTTATTAGATTTAATTATGTTCTTAGAGAAGTTAATTAGAGTGCTAATTAGTTGACTAAGATAGATTTCAAAATAGGAATTGCAATGGGTAGGATACTATAGTACTCATCATCATACTCGCATGGGTATGAATCCCTGTACCTATAACCTCTAAGTACCCACATATTCATCTTGTACTTATTATCCTCGCTTGTTTAAGAAAAAAATATTTATAAAAAAAATATGTTTATATAACTTCACAAAAGTAGCATAATAATACAAAAATTCAATATGTAGTTGCCGAATAAGGTACAAACATAGATAAAAAATAAATATTCAAAGATCACAAGTAATAAATGTATCTTAATACAATAATTTTCTAAACTAAAATTCTTAAAAATAATAAGTGAAACTAAACACACAAATTATTTGTCAGTAATGATCCTATCTTGTGTGAGATTCGATTAATCTACAACATCAGAGCAACAACGAAATAGGTGTTCATAATAGGTGGCTCTTCGTGTGAATCACTTGGTGACCTCTTGTGGCAACATTGACAACTAATTCTAATGAAACATTTTATAGTTGTTAAGTTTTAATGAAACAGACATTGAGAATGAGAGTAAAGTTAGGACAGAGAAGTTCATGTACTAATAATAAAAAGTGGATACATACAATAT